TCCTTATCTAAATTAAAGTCACGCTATAAACTGATTGATTTCCATTATCGGTGTCTGGTCCCAAGAATTTGGTGGGTAAAGCGTTTAATTTTTGCTAATCACTGAAACTTATAATGATACTAACATTGATAATTATATATTATTTTCTTTCATTCCACTCAGGAATTGGAATTAATTATCAAGGATCTAACCAGCCAACTCTATGATGCCAAGAACGAACTGCTCGTTCAGGAGGCAAGAATTCGCGAAGAAGTTTGCCAAGCAATGACGCGGGAGATGGTTGACATGGAAGGAAAATATGAGTAAGCACGAATCTATTCGCTCTATTGTACCCTCTGTTTCTGTCGTTTATGCTATTTTACTTTTTTGTTTTTATCTTTTAGCTTTTGGGTCTAATATTTCTGTAGCTTGCATGCTCACTTTTTAAATCGAATTTAAGTCCCTTAAAGCATGGGACCTTAAACCTTGCTTCACAACCAGATTACGATACATCTTGATTTAAGCTTGTCCTCTTACTAATTAACAGATTTTCGAAACGTCATTGGCCAGAGTAATCCAATAGATGACAAACCGCCTTTTTCCTTCGTCTATCTTGTGCTTCGTTATTAAGGTGACTATTCTGAATGCTATCCTAGTGAAACAAAACTATTCATATTTGGGTGTACTAAGCAATTCGTAATCGCTTTTGATTTAAATTAACCTATACCTTCACGCTCTGTGGAGCTATTTATTCAGGAGCACATTTTGGGAATTCTTCATAATTCCATATTTGTAGCAATCATTTATTACTAGTTCCACTCATATCAGTGCTTTATTTTTTATTGTTGGTTATATTTATTCCAGCAAACTGTCTTCCGCTTGTGTCTAATGCAAGCTTTTCCCAGTGATAGGCTAGCCTACTACTTCATTACAATACAATATGCAGTGCTGTGGGAATAATTATTGTTTACTCCTACTCTGAGCTGAACACATACTCGGCAACTTATTAGTCTATTCGAAGAAAAGCTGGGTTTCGAGGAATCTCTTGTTTCATAATTGTTGAGCTTCTATTTCGAGTGAAAGTGTGTTGGTGAAGAGATTCGAAGGTCGATTCCACCAGAAGACGACGGCGGATTCCTCTTGATCAGC